GCATACATTTGAGAAAAAATTTTCTAACTTCTACAATTTTTATCCGATTTTATTGATTGAGATAACAATTTATTCCAAAATCAAAGTAATTTTAGATAAATACTACATATTGGGCAACTTTCATAAAAATTAAATTATACGCCATGAACACTCCCAACAATCTAAGTGTGCCGATAGATTGTTATACAACATTTCATAATATATGTTTGAGGAAAAATAGTCAAATAGTCAAGCTTTTAATAGATAAGTGCATCAAGAACAAAAATAACATTTTTTTAATAAAGGAACTATACGGGACCTGTTTTCATGTTGTACTCGACCATACCTACAATCTACACTAGGTTTTATTTCGGGTGTATTTCGAGATTTTTTATTTTTTTTGTAGCACCGTGTTTTATTTGTAAACTTATTCATTGGGTGCGTGATTCGTAATGCTTACATTTTAGCTTATGTTCCAATAATTGCCGCTTCTTTTCTCAACCAATCAATACAGCATATGACTTAACCTCGATAACTTGTATTAACTTTGACACAAAAGCTTTATTACCTGTAAAATATTTCTTCGACTGCGACGGGTCCTCAGCAGCACTGGTACTCGTAGCACTGGCTACCTCAACACTCGTTGTTCTCTTGCTGGCGGGATATGAAGTGACAGGAGCGCTAGTAGTGGTAGTAGTAATAGTAGAAGTTGCAGTGCTTAACCCTTTAGCAGCATTTGTGGCCGTTGCTGCATCTGTGGTTGTTGATGACGATTCTGTTGCTGCTGTAGATGATTCCTCTTGAGCAGCCACAGAGCACAAAAACAATGCCAAAATGTATGTGCAACGCAGGATTTCTTTCACTTGCATTTTAAGTGAATTTCTTCAAAAAAAAAAAAAAACACAATATTTTCAAAATTGTTTTCACCACACGCTATCACTATTTGGCTTATGATACTCTACGCGCACCTGCTTCACAGTTTTTGTTTTCAAATTTCCAATTCTTAGTTTACTATATGTTTTTTCGAAAGCACTTTAACACGACTGCAACTGACCGGCTTCTGAGTTTAGATGCATTCGTGTAGCTGGTTTTATGACACATTCCTATGCAACGAAATTGCTTCGCATATAATTTCATGTAATTTTATTTACAACCAAGTAAACTAACCGGCTTACTATGGTAAAAAATATTGACTATACCTGCACATCTACATACATACATTGTACACTTACTTATGTATGTACATAAATATGTAGTACAAGTTCAAATATATGCATTTATAAGCACGATGTCATAAACAATTAGACGTAATATGCCGGCCGTTCCAGCGCTTAGTTTTTCTATGCGCAAATAAGGCAAATGCATCTATATTTAATAGCAATTATACATATATACATACATATTCATAACCCATAATGCGCATATTTTATCAATAAAAATGTTATACTTAAAGCAGAAAGTAGAAATTAAAAATTTAATTTACTTTATGTTGATACAATGTCAGTAAAATTAATTTAAATAAATTGGTTTTTTTTTATAATAATTAGTATTTGTTTATTTGCGCCATTATATCTAATTAATTTAAGTGTAGTTCTTAACAGGTAACATTTGAAATCAAGCATTTATTGGGGCTGGAAGTTATATCCGTATATTCGAGTACCTGATTAAAAAATCCGAATATCCGAATTGTTGTATGTAAAAATAAAAATCAAATAACAATTGTCTGTGTATTAATGAAGTGTTATGTATTTATTTTCAGCTTAACAGATTCAATCATTTTAAGAATAATCCTAAGAATCGTTCAAACACGTTTTACAATATCCGGATAACCAACTTGACGGATATTAACCTGATATCTTGATAACAGAAATGACCGAATATTAACCGGATTTCCAGATTTAACCCGTATGCACGAATATCGCAACGGATACCCGAATATACAGATAGTATTTATGTAGTATTTATGTGTCTGTTTTATGTCCACTCATAATTACAACCAGGGCTACAAACCGGTTTTGAACTGAGTCAATTTTCGTGCCGGATCGCCGCTTTTTTCGGGCTTCGATCCGAACTGCGATCAGAACCGTTTTTATTTTGAAATTTTTAAACTGAGCCGAAAACCACTCTAAATAAGTTAATAGCAAAAAAGTAAGTAATCGGTAACAAAATCGATAACAGATTCGATAAAAATATCGATAACATCTATAACAATATCGCTAACGAAAGCAATAACAGTATCGATAAAAAATATCGATAACAAAATCGTTTAAAATATCGAATACAAAACCGATAAAAATATCGATTATTATATCGACAAGTACCTAAAATATCGATAAAAATGTCTATGACAAAATATCGATAACAAACCCAATAAAAATATCGATTATTATATCTATAAGTCCCGAGAATCCCAGAAATTTCTAAAATCCCAAAATAGTTCCCAGATTAAGTCTCTGCGTCTCTATTTATGTCGTTTTCTCTATAATTACCTTTATTTTAATCTTTATTTTTCTATCTTCATCTTTAATTTTATCGGTAACCTCATCCTCATCTTTTTCTTTATATTTCTCTTTGTTTTTACTTTTATGTTTATCATTTTCTTTCTTGTTTTTACTTTTATGTTTATCATTTCTACATACAGTGAAAGCTCTCATAGGCGGACGCCCTAAGAAGCGGACATCTCCTATAAACGGACACATTCTTGGCAACGAACAATTTTTGTTTTTTCCATACAAAAAGCTCTGCCATACATGGACTTTCCGATAAACAGACGCGGACACTCAAACATGTCTAGTTATGAAAAAAAATCTCCCATAAGCGGACGCGAAGCTCTAATAAGCGGTCAATTTGGTATTTTTTCAGTCTGATGTTGACTCTTCCGCATGTACATATGTATGTATTTGTACCGAAGTACACAAGTAGAAAAAAAATTTTCCTTTTCATTGCCCTCTTCTTGCTGCTTGAGCGAAGCGGGCAATGAGATTTGTCGGTAGAAAAAAAAGCCATAAATTTGAATTTATTTTCCATTAATTCTGTTTTCGTCTATTGAAGAATAAATATTATTCTAATTTAGAAACCCGCAATTTCAATTTTTTGAATTTGAATTTTAATATTATTGTTTAAGAAATTACCATAAGCGGACATTTGCCATAGGCGGACAAAAAGTAAGTGACCATCGGTGTCCGCTTATAGGAGCTTTCACTGTATATCCCTTCACCTTTGTCCTTATATATAAGGTGTTTAAATTACCATTTCCGTTGAATTAGCCAATTTATTCCCAACCAACCAACCGCCGCTAAAGAAGTTTCACTTTAAAAATATTTTTAAAGCAAGACTTCAGAATGTGAACTAAATCAGACCATAAAATTTTCTTTTTTTTTTAGAAATATCTCGATTCCTGCGCCATCTATCGGTAACATTTTTTATAGAAAATTAAGCTGTGATTTGTTGATAAAAAAATTTTTAGCAATATTTTTCTCTTGTCGCCAATTTTTAATTTGTTTTAGCGAAAAATAGAGATTTTTAGCGATGCAAAATACGCTGGAATTGCAATTTTAGTAGCCAAAACAGTTCACTCACTTTATCCGGTTCGTTTTGTTCATCGCTAAAATCTTCCAAAATATTAATCAAAAATGGAGATTTTTAGAGATGTCTTTTTAAGAGAGGATTGCAAAAATCTCTAAAAATTGCTAAAAAACTCATTTACCATTTTTTGGCGATGAAATTTTAACGATATCGAAAGTTGGAATCCGGCTGAAGGAAAGAAAAAAAAAGTATTGAATGGTGTATGTGTTCAGCTAACTTTGATTAGGCACCGGCAAAAATCGATCAGATCAGGAATATTCTCTAAGTCTTTGGAAACTCTTGCAAGATTTATTAAAAGAATACCGCTATTCTCTTTAATGTCATGACTCATGATATTCAATTTTTCGATTAAATTCGGAGGTTTTTTATTAATATAGATTATTATGTTGGAGATCAAAACACCTCTTCACACTGTTGGATATTCAATACAGATCTCTACTCTTCACCTGTATTTATTAACTGAGTAATTTTACTAAGATTTCCATTTCTCTTCCTAGATCAACACATATTTTATTGTACATATGTTGTTTAAATCGAATGCTCACTTTTACATATTGCAATGGGAAACTATTAGTATTTTTTTCAAAATAAGTATAATTCTTTGCATTAGTAATCTCTTCCAAAAAAGAAATTGCAAGAAGAAAGAGTTGAACATCCGCTCATTTTACTTTTTTTTTTAGCTATTAACACACTCGCTGACTAATGAAACCGCTGCCAGTATTTTCTAAGCAACAAAAACGTGCAACTTGAATTTTTTTCATTCGTTTTTCGTCTCGGGCGCTTTATTATTTTACCAAATGCAGCTACAGAATACAGTGATAATGAAGATATTTTGGGCGACGTTACAAATATGGTCTGTGAACTGATTTGTGATAAAAAAAAAAAAAATCCACTTAGAATAATTTTTAGTTGTGGCTGTTTTTGATTTGGGGTACGAGGTATTTATGTAAATCATAGCACGTATTATATGATTTAACCTACCACAACATATAATATCTGCTTCTTTTTCAGGCGACCATTAAAGTTTTAAAAAATGTCCTCTAAATCAACATCGAATTTAAAATGCTAGGAGTGCACTGAAACATTGACTGCCAGCATGGAGGTTATTCTACGGCTATTCGGACGGTGAGTTTATTATCCAAAGTATATTTTCTAATAGTTTATCGACCATAGAATTCTAAAAATGTTCGCCTTTTACAGAAATATAAGAATGTTATTTAATTTTCCGAATTAATTTCCGAATCAAATGAAATCTTCGTATCTACTACTATCCAGTTATACATACATACATATGTATTCGCTAAATATATTCATATTGCCATCAAAAGAGGTGTCTCAGGTAGACTATCGCCGCTAGTTAGATTCACAAAACGTCCTACCTCACATAAAAAAAAAAAAAAAAAAAAAAAAATAAATATTAAATGCATTTTTTTTTGTAGGTAAATATATTATAAAATTTAATTAACGGTAATACGGTTTATATTTATAAAACTATTAAAAACTATATACAAAGACTTGCACAAATATCCTGTCAAATAATCCCTGAGTATTTTCACTAAAATTTTTAGTTCTTTTTAATGAACAAATCGAATGGAACAGCACCCAAAAATAAGTTCATAACGCGTAAGAACATTGGCTCCCAAGTGCTGCGTGTTTGTGGCAACATTACTTTGTACACTTGACGCCAGTATTGATTTACGAAATCCAGTATTACGGCATCTGAAAGAAAAATAGAATGAGTAAATATTATAATGTATTGTATTTCGAATTTTATTATTCACTTTTCACTTACTCAGTGCTGGATCTGGCACCAAGTTACTAGCATAAATATGCATATCTCCGATTTCTGGTTCAAAATTGAATTTTGTAAGTCGCAAATATGTGTGGCCGTCACGCTCATAGAGTTCGCCTTCCGACTGGGAGCTCAACAGGAGATCGGCTATTTAAAAAAATTGATAATTTCATTAGTTTGCCCTTGTCGCTCCCTCCCCTCTTCCCTTCTCACTTACACATAGTCACATTGAAGTATCCCTTTGGTGTCATTTTCACTTCGTTTATCATCAGATCGGCCTTATAGTTGCCTTCAATGTAGAGGTGTGGCATTTGTGAAACCAATCCCATGTGCACATTATTGCCATCCAAACGAAAGTCTACCTTCTGTACTATACCCTCACTTATGCCAAATACACGCACGTTGCGTACCTGCACACGTCCCTGTGCGAAACCGCCACCAACTTCAATATTGTTGCGTTCAATGATGAAAGGATCCATCTGGGGGATATTCAGCTCCTTAATGCCATCCTTTAGACGCGGGGTGAGCTGTTGAAAGGCGCGTTTGATGCATTCGTTGATATTAACGTCCCCTTGTTCGCAAGTGGGTATGTCAGCCGCTAGAAATATTGAAGAAAAAAGAAAATGAAATAATTACATAGTGGATACTAGGAATGGGATCCCGGGATCCCGGTCTTTTTAGGTGCCGAAAAATCCCGCTATTCTTGGCAAATAATTCCGGGATTTTCGAGATTTATAATTTGCACTGATGGCAATAATAGAAACTCATTCTCTTGACCAGTATTGGCTATTATCTCTTTTTTTTATTTAATATTTTTTTATGAAGGGCCAAATATAGTAAAATTCTAACGTCAGCAATTCAAAAATTATGTATTTAAAAAATTCAGTAAAATTTGCTTAAAAAATAAGTATGGGTATCAAATTAAAGAGAAAATTCTGTAGAATTTAATCAGATCCAATATTTTGGTGTATAAGGACTGGTAAGTATTGAAAATGTCATTTTATAATTTTGTCCTTGAAATTTACAATATCTGTTTAAAAAAGAAATATATGTTAAGGACTTATATAAACTCGATAACATCCTCGAATTTCGTCCCTCTAACTTTATCAGCTTAAAAATTACCTATTCGTCCTTGTTAATCCAAAAAATTTAAATTTTTTTAAATTCTAAGAAATTTCCTCTTTCATGTGGTACCCATATTTTTATTCTATATTACATTGAATTTTTTAAATAATTTTTGGAATTAATCATATCTTTGAAATTACAAAGTCCTTTAAAATAAATCCTGACGTCAGAGAGAAAAAAAAACGCCACTTTAAATAAAAAAATAGGTTTCAAAGCCATTTATTTATTATTTATTTTATGGTAGGAGAGATAGAAGCAATTTTTTCGATTTAAATTGTTGAAAAGTAAAGTAAATCCCGGGACCGATCCCGGGATCGTAAAAAGCGAAAAAATTAACATCCCTAGTTGACACAAACTAAAGACTTAAGCTACGAACTTCATTCGGTTTTTCTTTTTTTTTTTTGTTGAATTTTTTATCGTACCGATGGATTGTGATTTATTAGCAGCCATAATTGAATCTATAATACATTAAGACGTATAAATAATGTACTTCACTTTGTGTTCAATCGTGTTAACTGCTGCTAATGTCGCATGTCCTTGGCACAAATAGTCTTATTGAAGTCATATTATAGAAGTAATTTTTTTTAATTGCCTAAACATGACTAACATAAAATACGAGTATGTTAAGCACCAAAACGTGTCATTTAGAATCTAACGATTCTAAACACTGCCATTATGATTCCTGTATGTATTTTGTTCAAAAGTTTGCCGCTTTTGGTTTCGTTGAAACGATTTTAATTAGATTACGACTCAATTAATATATACTTGTGTGTGCTTAAGTGCTTTAGCGCCAGAAATCGTTTGTAGATCGATCAATAGTAAATTTATTTTCCGAATGGGCTATTTTATATTATTTCGAGAATTTAACTTAGTTTTTTGTAAACAAATAACAAGGTTAGCAATTAGTAAAAATCTTGATAAAAAAAGTCAATGCACACATTGCAAATGCTAGAGGTTATTTCGTATATCTAACCGAATATGAATTTTGCCACAGTTGTTTTTGGACTATACAACTTTAACGCATTTCAAGAGTATTTTATAGTTTTCTAAAAATACCGGGATTCAAAAGAAATAATAATAATATTTTTACGAAGAAAATTTTTACATATGCGATACTAGAGTAGGGCTGCCAGACGTCCTGGTTTTCCAGGATTTGTCCTGGTTTGGACAAATTGTCCTGATGTCCTGGTCCGTACTTAAATTGTCCTGGCCAATGCATACAATCAATTCATATTTGGCAGATATTCGCTATGTTAAAGGTCAAGCTTTCTGTTATTAGTAATTTTACATTTGGTCAGTTTGTATGATGTAATCAAAGCGCATCTGACACCAAATGAACAGCTGTTAGTTGAGGCAGTTTTCGACTAATTTTATTAATGTAATTTTACTTTTTATAAAAAACTTGGGTAATTTTGATAACAAATGTGACGAGTTCTTGTATCTTATTTAATTTTGTTTTTTTTTTTTTTATTGTAATGATGTCATTATAACTTTTATAAGCAATCAAAGTAATTAAAATAACGATTTTGACGTGTCACTTTGGCTACCATTTGTACGTTTTTGAGTATAACTTTTTCACCGCAAAGCGGAGGCTTCGAAAAATCTTGGCAAATAGTTAATTTAATATTGGAAAATGCATTAGGCATTGAGAAAAATATGTGCTCCTCATTGGAAATAAATAAATGTAACAATTTGAAGTTTGTCACTCGTAATTATCAAAAATGTAATATTTCATGTTCGTTTCCATTTTTAAGTTTCAGCAATTACTAAATTGTTCTTATTTGTTTATATACATATAATTTACACATTAGGGATAAAAAATAAGACCTTTTTCAGCTGTGTGGCTTTGAAAATATTGAAAATAGAAAACAAATCTTGTCTGAATATTTAGGTGGTCTTTGCGTGAATGGCTTCAAAAGTTTCCTTTTTTTGATTGCGCCATCTGTTACACAAAAGTCGAAATACCAAACCACTCATACTTTTTGTCTCCTTCTCTCATTTCCCGCGCAAGCACGTGTTTGCAAAACGATGACGAAGTGATTTTGTATGGTAAATTATTTATGCCCATATATTTGAATAAAATAAACATACTTAGAAGATATCAACCAATACTTCCCAAAAACTCATTCGAGTGGTTTTCAAGCATTTTGGTAATAAAAAAAATTGCAAATTAATTTTTCAACATTTTTTTGCCCTAAAATGCTCAATATTTATTTTGAATTTATATAAAATTTGTACACGATAATATTTCTATTGCTTTAAAGAACATATATCCCGAAAATTAAAGTTACACATATCAAATGTAATGTATGCAAATCATAAGTTGCTGAATCCGTCGATAGTTGTGGAATTTTATCTTTGAAACGCCACACCTTTCTTTGAAATCGCATACATAAATATGCACTATGCATATATCGCATGCGTTATTCTACTAGCTATTAATAATAAGAGCAAGCGATTAAACGTCTAAGTGCTACAAATACATATTACATATCTACGAGTATGACGTACATTGTGTACATACATATATTTTACTAACTATAATATAAACGATGTGATACGTAAAAAGTATATGTGTATGTACGTTCTCAGCACAAATTCATAAATTAGAATCGGATATTGTGTTCGAGTTTTTTAGAACTTCTGCCCATTCCAAACCAAATTAATATTATTAGAGCCAATTAGTGACGTTTTTAGTTTTTTCGCTTGGCCGGAATCTTAAAATCACTCGTTTTTCATCTATATTATCACTGCCACGCACTATGGGCTAAACTACTTTTTTTTTGTTTCAAATATAATATGTATAATGAGAAGGAATAGAGCTGGCCAAAAAAATGGTTTAAATAAATTTCGAATTATGTCAATTAAAAAAAATTAAACGAATTGCAACATTCTTTATTTTAAAAGTTGAAAGGGAAATGCTGAGCAAGCTAAAAAAAAAAATGAATTACCTTTAGTTTTCTTTTTGCAATGAAAAAAGATGTCGATTTCAGAATTTTAAGATATCGCGAAAGGTTATTGATTTTTTTTTAAATGGTCAAGTTTTCGCCCATTATTCCAACCCTTAATTCTATTCCTTGTCGTAATAAATATTAGATTTTAAACAAAGCAAATCAATTTAGCCATAGTACGACGTCATTGGCCATAACGTGATACGACGCTGTATGTGTCATTATTTGTATTACATTTATCATCAGTCCAATTATTCTGCCTTCATACTCGTATGATTTCTAGTTAAGCGCCTGACATAAGTACATACTAGGGTGGTCATATAACCAAAGGTCAACTAAAATTATCCGCACTGATTTTTTAATACTTGTGCAATTTGATATAAGATATATTTCAATGATTTATTTTGAATCAAACTTTTTAAAAGCTTCCCTGAAATCTTATTACATTAAACGAGTAATTCTTGTATATATATATATATATATATATATATCCATTAAGTTCTCGGTAACGGCTCTAACGATTTAGATGACATTTTGTACACAGATAATGTTTTGGATTTTAAGGTTATCTGAATAGTCATTATCTCCGAGAAGACTCGTATAAGGTTGCCACCTATTCGAAATTAGTTACAATTTAATTAAAACATCATAATATGAGTATCAATTGGAAGGTATTTTTAAGATCCCTAATTCAAAAATATTTTTGATATTTAGATCGCATATTTCTTTAATTTTTTGTTTAGAAAAAAAAGGGTACCAAGAAAAGGTCCTTCAACAATGCTTTCTCTATATACAAAATGTTATCTCTTAGGATAATAATGTAAGGTTGCCACTTATTTTCGATGTTACACAATTTATCTAAAGCATCGCAATATGGATATCAAATGGAAGGTATTGTTGAGAACTTTGGTCAGAAAATATTTTCCATCAGGGTTGCCACACTTCTATGTAATACAAATTTTTATTTTGTCAATTTCAATCAAACATTTTTTTATGTATACACAGTATATATACGCTCAAGATATGTACCATTCATTCCAGCGTATTTTTACTTTATTATTCTTTTAAATATGTATATCTTACAAACAAACAAAAAAAACCCCCGACCACCCTAATGAAAACAAAAATACTTAACTATTCACTTGTCGCGCTTGATTGCTCAGTCGCAACTGCACCGAAAAAAAATCAATTGCATTAAACAATTATAAGCATGCATCCATTATCTAAGCCGATTTATATCGTAAAAATGTAGTTAGGCCCCACATCGTAAAATCGCAAACGCGATTGCGCACACCAATGCATACATATGTCGTTAGTTTTTTAAGTGGCCCACCTTGGTTGACCCATTCAGTGAACACAAATAAGAGGTCAAACAAGAATTACATAAATTTAAGTTACAATTTTCCTGTTGCTACTAGCTCGCTTACATTTTTCACATAATTTAAGGGGCCTATGATCGGCAGATTATTTTTTGAAATGCTAACCAATCCGTGGCATAAACGCTAAGTTTTACCCTTGATTGTTTGAGGCGATAGCTGATATATGCTTTTCATATAATGTGGATAAATATTGCGCGAACTAGGCATCAAAGCCGTGCTCTCACGAGTAGTAGTTCGCATTTCCAAACGCTCCTCTAGGATGGCCTCTTTAGACTTTTAACTTTAACACACATTCCCTGAGTACTGAATGGCTAAAAGTATGATATATTTTGATTTTATTTAAATCCTCTTCGGTTTGGTTTATCAGTTTGGAGGAAAAGTTTGCGTTCTTAATGGCATATGCACATAGAGAAAACTTGTCTGATCTTCGAATGTAACATTCAAACAAACAAGAGAAGACTTCAAAACAAATTACGATCAACTCCAAATTGGCATGGTAAACGCCGCTTTAAATTTTCATCAGTGAGGATGTGCGGACATTGATCGATCCTGCTGAAACAACGATTCGGTTGAATCACTGAAAAATATCGCAATCATTGGTTCTTTAGCTCAAAACTCAGTCGGTGAATTAAATTTCCCGTATTAATTTTGTACCCTTGAAAAAACTTTCCTAACAAGAATTCGCAAAGATGTAATATTATGTCGCCATTAAATTATCGATGCTTCTGAATGAAAAAAGTTGCATCTTTGTTCCACAACATACAATACTAAAGACCGATACGGCAATACTTCATGGTTAAGTGTTCATTTACTCATTGTCGAGAAAAAAATTGAGATATGTCGACGAAATTTGGTAAGTTGTAGGTCGCCTTTTAACCCAGGTCGGTTGGTATTGAAAATAGTCAAAATCGGACAATAACCACGCCTACCCCCCATATAACGGTATTTTCGAAATATGCACAAACTGTACTTAGGGAAATTTTTGGAAAATGGGTGTTACACCTACATACATACATATGTGTATCTCGGTAACCGGTGTGTCAATTTCTACCAAACTCGGTGCACTTAATAAACTTGATACGGAAAAGCAATTCGTTGAAAATTATTAAAATCGGACTAAAATTACAACCGCTTTCCGTATTACGGTAAATTTCAGAAATGCGAAAACCCCGATATTTCAATAACTGAAGACGCTAATTTACCCCAAGTTAATACTTACAACAATCTCTTAACAATAAATAAGATTTTTATAGACTTTTAGGAATTGGGCGTGGCACCGCCCACTTTATGACTACAAAAGGTGTATCTCGGTAACCGCTATAAAAATTTCTACCAAATTTGGTTCAATTATTTTATTGAGTCTAACTCATCATATTATCGAAAACATTTGAAATCGGGGGAAATCACCCTTGCTTATCATGCAAAGGTAATTTAAAGAAAGTTGAACGACGATATTTGATACCTGCGCCGGGTATATCAAATTCGGTTTCGCCCGAATTTATACTTATTTACTTTTTTTTTTTTAATTGCATACTTTATTATCGTCACTAGATACGAATAAAGACGCGAACTCAAAATTTGAGCGCAAAAAAAAGCTTCGGCCAAGAAAGGCGCGTTAACCTATTTTATAGCGCAGAAAGACGCGAAAACTTATTTTCGAGGTAAACTATATTTTCGGGTGTACCAGTGTACAAATTACCCAAAGAGTTTTTTAGGAATGAAGCTGGAGGAAATGTCATTGCCCAGTATGAATCTATGTTTACGCGTCTTTCTTCCCCGTCAACTAAGTTAACGTCGGAAGTTTTTTTTATGCGCCTTTTTCGTAAAGATTTTTTTCACTCGTCCTTTTTCGCCGTCAGAATACTCGCGCGTCTTTGTTCGTGTATTGAGCAGAACAAAAAATTTTTTTTTTTAAGTTTCGGATTCTAATATTTTCTTTAATTATTTTTCGCTTCCGTTCAACGTTAAGGACACTCACGCAATTCACTGACTGGCTTGAAATCGGGCAGCTCCGGCAGTTCCGCATTCACCGTTAATTGTGCCGCACAGCAGCCAATAAGGCAGGCAAACAAAAGCACAAATGAAAAGCGCAACATTTCCAACCAAAATCGATTATTTACTAAATTTTAAAATATTTTCTTCTTCGTATAATCCGAGTGCTATATGCCTAGGATTTGCCTGCCTTCCTGTGCTGGTTCACTGCTGCGAGTAATTTTCCGTTTGCGTGCGTTTAATTCTGTAGGAATGCGCGATCACTTCGACAAACGCGCAACAACACTGCAAATCGCTTTGAAAGCATCTAAAATTCATACCGGCAGATACAGTGGTTTTTATTGCAAAGCATTGGTACCTGGTCACATATGTATGTACGTATGTTCTTATGTACGTACACCCACTTCTTCACCTCCCGAGCTAGCGAGACACCAATGAGGTAAATAAAAAAAGTCGTAGATATGTGTGTGTGTATGTATGTGCGAGTACTCAGTTAGAATAATGAATAACTAAATATTGGCTGGTCACAGTAATAATTAGGTTTGTTGAATATTTTTAGATTTTAGCACACACACATATTTATGTATATACCAGGGTTGTTGCGAATATTCGCATTCGCAACCGCGGAGCTTCCGCATTAATTTTAACATTCGTATTTGCAAATGGTAAATTGTCTCCAAAATTTTGTGCCTGTGGAGATGCGACGTTAGATCGCGCCATCTACAGCTCGAGAATAACCACATTTATTTGTTTTTGTCAAAATAAGCATTCCACGATTACTCAAAAAACAAAAACACTTCAACAATTTCTGGGCCGACTGAATCAACCGCATTCCAAGACTGCATCCATCACGCGATGGCACAGTTCCTTGCACATGTTCGAGCGATTTTTAAAGGTAAAAGATGCGTTGAGCCTTTATTTAAACGACAGTGACATGGATGCAATTTTGCCAGAAGAGTGGAAGATCATGGAATCTTGTGTTGAGTTACCAAACAAATTTTAAATAAGCCACATCCATGATTCCAATACTGCAAATGCTTATAAAAACCAGTGGCTGAGAGCAAATGGTATGATCGAAACTAAATGTCGTTCTCGTAGTTTTGTTCTCAAGAACGCTTCAAAACCAAAACCAAAATGGGAACAAAACTGTCGAGAACGTTCTCAATGGGAATTTTATAAGAACAAAACGCTGTGAAACGTTTCCAAAGAGAACAAAATGCGAACAATAGTTTCGGGAACATTTCTAAGAGGCGAAAATGAGAACAAAAGTCTCGGGAACAAAAGTATAAGAAACTTTCTCTCGAAGAACGATTTGGAAGCTAAAATCTAGGAACTTTTTGACTGAGAATGAAACGAGAACAAATCTTCTCTGAACTATTTGAGAACAATGCAAGCAAGAACAAAATTTGTCACATAGCGTTCATTGGTTTGAAATGTTTGTATATTAAAATTAATCAAAAAGGAACTGAAAGATACTTACGCAAATTAAGTCAACGAAAGACTTAAGACACGAACTTTTCTTGCACAAAAAATTAAAAATTGTTCCACAAATGTACAATCCACGCTAATGATAAACAATTTGGAAGTTGAAATGACGCAGACCACCTCTGGCTTAGAATTACAATCGCGGTTCTCACTAAAACGATGTTTCATCCTAACACGCAGACTATCCTCTCATTCTTAACGTAAAATTCTCAAAACGTTTGTTCTCGTTTGGTTCTCTAGCAAGATTTTTGTTCTCATTTGATCCTCCTTGAAAACGTGCTCGATACTTTCGTTCTCATTCGAAACGTTCCCGAAAGTTTTGTTCTCATGCTGTTCTTCTTGACAACGTTACCTAGTGTTTTGTTCGCATTTTATTCTTTATGAAAACGTTCGCAAACCTTTTGTTCCCATTTTATTCCCGTTCAAACTACTCTCAATACTTTTGTTCCCGTTAGATTCTTTTGTGGGAACGTTCTTGATTGACAGTTTGTTCTCATGCAGAACTAAATCAAAACTGGAACGCGTTCGCGGTCGCTGATAAAACTGGGTGACTTTTTAACAAAATCGCAAGATTCTGATGCGAATCGGCTGGTAGCCACGAAATTTTCATCACTGGAAAATAACCCTTTATTTGTCATATCCACCTATTAGACCCTCGCTATAAGCACAATGCTTTCAAACCAATTACAGAAGAAAGGTTGAAAAATGAATTACATAAAATAACATAGAAAAACACTGATGACATTCCAGGCTCTCATAATTTTGAAACAGCCGACAGCATGAGAATAAGTAATTCGTTGGAAAAAGCTTTAGATTAGCCTGAAACATCTAGTTCGGCTAGTCAGCGGTGTTTAAAGAGAAATCTTGCCATAGATTCCTCAAGTGAAAAAAATAAATATAACTGAAAGTCCTCCCAGCTGGTGGGGCGTCAATCGATATGAATTTAAAATATTGTCAAAGATTTCGCACGCAGATATTTGTTATTTAGTTATGCAGGTTTGATTTACGACCTTTTAAGAAACAGGCTGGAAACTGAAAAAGCAGCAACATTACTTTTTATTAAATATAAAGTTCGAATTTTTAAATTCAGGTACTAAATAAAATACCTTACTTACCTAAATTATTCCTTAAAATTACTTACTTGGCATCCGTATCCGCATTTGCAGCCGCGGATGTCTAAAATTCCACATTCGCAACATCCCTAGTATGTTTATACATACACATCTGGTATGTACTAGTCTAGGAACATTACCTACTGACTTTGTGCTTTATTGATTTGATGTTTGACTGGTTTTATTTTTGCAAACTATTAGAATATTTTTTCGTTTATTTTTCTTTTGATTGGGATTTTCGCTGCTCAGACACCGCAAACTCACAAAGCAAGTACCGATTTTTGGTGCCTTAAAAATTTGTATGCATTAAACGTAGATAGTGAGAGTGATTTTTTCTTACTTTAAGAAGCTTATGTATTATTATGTGCAAATAGATGTATGTATGTATACAAAACTATGGTACGAGTATCTGTTTATTTATTTACATATGTATATACCGTATGTATCTACCGGCAAATTTGTGAACGTACATATGTACATATTGGGTGGCACAAAATTACAGCAATAAGTGACGGAAGTTCTACAATGATTTCGCATACTTCTACTTATATGCAAATATTTACAAAATCAATCACAGCTTTTATTTACCTATTTACATACTATTTAATATACATAAACTTAGATGCTTATAAGCACCCTGCAGGTAAAATCTGTATAGCTTTGCTTTTGATATCACTTGTAAGCATAGAAAGCTTTCAAAGCGGCGGGGAAAAGTTTCGTCTCTTAGACTCGGTTTGGCAAAAATACGTTTAAATTTTCAAAGGCCTTCAGTGCATGTGTTTTTTTTTTTTTGCGGTTTTCCTTGGAATCGACGTGAAATCGAACAGCTTTTCGGACGGACGAATGACCAAAACCAGAAGGACATGGTTGGGCGAAACAACAGATTTCAGCAATAATGCATTCATATG